TTCCCCGCTAGACTTCATGGTGGCGTTCTTACCCACACAGCGCCGGGGATGGGAGCTGCCACAAAATACCGCCACTGTAACCGGTGGGTTAGCACCAGCTACCTTCTGCAGCACAGTAAACACAGCTCAGGAGCCCTTGGAATTCAGTTGACACTGAACCCATTTGTATAGATATAAAAGCACACTTCTGTTTTCAAAATACTTTGCTATACAAAAACAGACATTTCTTCAGCAGCAGAGCACAGTGCGATTGCTGAGCCACGCAACCAAAACACCATGTGCCGTCACAAGGCTGCAAAAGAGCTTACTCTTGGTCGCTGTATAGTAGATGTATTAGAATTAATACCTATTTTCTTGCCTGTTGTTGGGAAAAATTAGAAATATCGCAGTGCCGGCTTCTGCCCTGCCTCCCCTTGCCCCCCAACTTCTGTGCGACCACGTACCGAAAAGCTGTACCTGCTCACCTCACAAGGGTTCTTCCCAAACACGGGGCATTTCACCAGCTAGACAGAGAGGACTTCAGTCTTCCAGGCTGCAAAATATTACATTTTAGGGGAAAAACAAAGAAAACCAAACCCAAAAAAGCCAGCCCCACGTGATTCGATACCTGAACATGACAACTGCAAAGGATATAAATCCCCTAGGACTGGATAGATCACCTGTACTTTGCCTTTTTTAACACCCAGTTGCTGTACGGCCTCTGCATAAAGGCCCCGCGTGCAATGGCCAGGAAAAAAAATCACAGAAATTACGCTGGAGGTGTTGCAGGACAAGGGTTTAACACAAAACCCACAGTCCAAACCTGTGACCTAAAGGCTGCTCTTCCCCACATTCCCCATCAGATTGATTGGCACCCCCAAAATAAACACTGAGCCAGCCACCGTCAGAGCTTTTGTTTCGCCGAACACCATTTTGATACCGAAACAACTTGACCGTGTTTTAAACGGAGCACGTTTGCACGGTCATTGCTCTTTCACTTCAGAGGAAAGCACAAAAGAAAAATACTTGCGCATCGAGACCTGCTGCGCTCGAAAACCTCTCCAGCAATACGGCACAGGAGACCGGTTTCTCGGCGAGCTTTGGCTTTCATTTTACCTCTGCAGACCTCACGATGCAGCTTTTTAACTCTTTGGGATAATAGGAAAGCTTGAAAGATTACAGTTTCCACCATTATGGAGGAGGAGCGGAGGTTTCTATCGCTCGCTTGCTTTTTGGCACCGGAAATTCAGGTTTTGTTTAGCTTGGAAACCTCATGGATGTCGTTCTAGTAACTCTTCAGTCCAAAGCAGAGGGTGGTAAAAGTTCAGCACTCACAAGGTAATTCTCACTCGTTTGTCCTAAACTGCCAAAGAAAAGCAATTCCGAGTCCCACAGGGTGTGCCAACCTGAAAAACATGGAAACGTCCCAAACAGCCAGCTTCTTCGTCCACCGTATGTCTATGCCAGCAAAGGCCTCTGATGAGCACGAGGCATATCTCCAAACCAACATATCCCCAACGAGAGAATAAAATTAATATCCCTGTCCACGCTGGTTTATTTCAAGTACAGACGAGGCTTTAGGCACAGGAGCTATTGACAATTTTCACGTACACCACACACCAACTTTCCCCAGCTCTCCACCGCAGGGAGCACGGTATGAAATCTGGCCCGGACACCTCATACTTACCCTCCGCTAAATTTTTGCCAGAAAAGCATAAAGTCATAGCCGTGCTACAAATCACTGCAGCAACCAGACTGCCTCACTGGCAGTGAAATCACGGCGTTTCTCTTAAGGTGTTGCTCCAGCTTAGCAGGGCAGGGCCTCTCCGCCGGTCAGCCAGAGGCATTCATGCGACACCGATGCCAATATTCTCATTAAGGGAGGCTAACAAGAAGGCGCCGATACCTAACACTCCTTGCGCGCTAATGACTGCCGGGACTCTGCGCCTTGAAGTCATGTGTGACCTAGGAGAGACCAGCACCAGGTGCTTTTTATTACCTTTTGCAACACAACAAAAGAAATTGCACCCAGTAAGGAAGCGTTTTCCTTCTTCCTGGTGAGCGAGCACAACTTTGAGGAATCAAGTAATAAAACGGCAGCATCTCGCGGGAGCAAGTTCACAGAAAAAAAAAAACAAACAGTTCAAGGGGACCCTGATCTTCACCAATGCAATTCAGGACGTTGCAACGTTCCCTCCGACGTTAGCCCATTGCCTTTGCCTGAGCAAAATTAGGAATAATATACTACCGCATGTAGATCTGTTCACTTGCAGGAAAGGGGCCCCACAGTTTTTCTCTCTGGAGGCAAGCATTCTCCCCACCCCTTTTGTGTGTATTTTTTTTTTTTAAATGTGCCACACATCAGCACAATGCTGACAACTGCATTGTATGTTTTCTGCCTATGCAGCAGTTCAAGAGCACACAACTCTGGAAGGTTTTTTTGAAAGGGGAGAGGGGGAGGGAGCTGTCCTTTGCCATACCGTTTTAATTGCACGGCTTGCTCTTCTACGTGACCACAGGGAAGGGAAAAAAACACTAAGGTTTAAAAACAGTACCATTTTTAGCATCCTAAAGGGTCAAACTCAGTCTTCTCACAAGATACAGTGGAGCTTAGAGTAAAAGCTACCACAGGCAAGAAAAAAAAAAAAAAAAAAAAATTATCACCAGGGTTTCTTCTCTGGAGTTGGAAGTGACCCCAGAAGACAGCTCATCTGTCCTTGCTTACTGTCGTTACGGTCTCTACATTTCCACACCTGCCAATGCAGAGATACCAGCACTGAAAAAGGAAAATGGAGGGAAGGGTACAAAAAGCTGGACTGTTTTTCCACCTGCCAGCAGCAGCTTGACGGAGCCTCGGTGGTGGCACTGCTCCAAAGAGCAGCGACCAGAGCACATTACCAGCCTTTGCAAATAAAGCTAATAGTTAATATCTCACACGCACATGCATTATACAGATAGGACTGGCAAACACAGCTTCCTTTAAAAATAAGGATGACTAATCCACAGCAGTTTTTATTCTTTTTTTTTTTTAAGGCCACAAGGCAGAGCTTTTTCCAGAAGCACCAGCCTTTGCTTTTGCGAAATAGTAAGCGGTGGGAAGGGGAAGCCCTGGGACCTACTCATGCTATCCAGACAGGAGTAACCACAGAAACATTGTGGGTTTCTGTGGCCCGTGTACAACACACCCTTACACAACCAGAGCACTATGCCTTACGCTCCTCGGCAAGGCCAGATCCGACTGCCCGGACAGCTCTTAGATCGCTGCATGTTTACAATACTTACAAAGAAGGTATCTGCTATGGAGAGGGGTTACACAAACAATCCTGTATTTCCCTGCGAAGGAAGGGAAAAAAAAAAAGGAAAAAAAGTAAGTCAGAAGGCAGCTTTCACCCAGAATATTGCAACATGCCCCTGCGCTACCTGGGTCAGGGAAGGGATACGCTGGGAAAAAGCGGCGTGCAGGGTTCTGTAATCGAAGCGGAACATCTGCATTAGCTCGGTGGGCCCAGTCCCCCAAGCAAGGTCATTCCGGCTCGCAGGGAGACACATTAGCGCTAGCAAGCCTGCTTTAATGCAAAGCTGTGGTCCAACCACAGCGGAGCCAGCACTAAAGGAGGTCACTTGGGGACTACAAAAAGGTAATGAATTAAAGAAAAAAAAATCTATAAGCAGATGTTTACTGACAAGCAGGCAAGTCCACAGCTTCACTCTGGCAAAGAGCAAGAAGGAAGGGTCATCTGCATGGAGCAGGCAGAGAAGTAACAGCCCAGTTCCCAGGACATAGGAAAATACTCTGCATCTACAGAGAGCACTGAACAGATTTAGGTTACGGCTAGGCATGCTCACCAACATCCCCCCCTTCCCAGCTTTGCTTTGCAGCCCTAAAACCCACCAAATCTGTCATTTTTTAAAGCACTCCGAAATCCAGATTTGCCACCAACGTGATTTTTGGTGGTGGCACCATGAAAATACTTACCCACCTCACAGACAAGGGATGTGAAATCTTAAATTTGTGAGTGTTTGCAAATTATTTTGAAAGCCTTCCAAGGAAGGTGCTGTAGGATTGTAAATCCTTCCCATTATTAATAAAATGGAGCTATTGTTCCAGCTCTAATCAAGACTTGTCTCCAGCTGGGCAATTTTAAACCACAATTCAAAACACACACACACACACAAAAAAAAAAAGATCATGAGGAAGCTTCAACCCACAGGCTGCCAAGAAAAAAAAAAAAATCACTGAAAGAGCAAGCTGTTCTTTAAGGGGAAGGGGGAAAGAAAATAAAAAATAATAGCCCTGCTATTTAAAATGAATTCCAAGCGGGAGCATGTCAGGGCGGGGGGAAAAGCCTCCCTCCCACTGCCTGGGAAAGGTCACTTCTGCCATCGGTACCCTCGCTACGCCAGATCAAGGCTGCAGCAGTGCGTGCGAGCGAGCAACCCCATTGCTGCGAGCCCAGCCTCATCCATCTCCATCAGGAAATCTCTCTGCTTTTAATTTATTTAGCAAAAGGGGAGGAAAAAAAAAAAGACTTTAAAAAAAAAACCCAAACCCTTGCAAACACCTCCCAGCACCCTCTTCAAAGATGGGGAAATCTAGCAAGGGTGAGAGGCTTGGAAAGAGGCTGTCAGCCGGGGAGGGAAGGCAGGGAGAGGTGGTGCATCCTCTGCATCCTCCTCCTCCTCCTCCCCCGGCGGCAGGGACCACGCCTGCCCGGCGCTGCGGCAAAGGCTCCGCAGTGGGTGCTCCCCTCCCCCGTAGAAACTTCTGGAATAAGCAGCCAAGCTGGGGAGAGGAGAGAAACCTTTACACCCGCGGGGGGGGGGGGGAGCAATGAAGCACATAATAAAAGGGAGAGGATTGTACAAGGATCGGGTGCGTGCATCGGGGAGGGGGGGAAATAGATATATATAAAAATTAAGCCCACGAGCGGCTTTGGCAGCCCCGGCTCGGCGGGGTTTTGCAGCCTGCTTGGCTTTAAATAAAACGCCCCAACACAAAGCACGGGGGGGGCAAAAAAAAAAAAAATGGTGGTGTTTG